AACCTCTGAACCTATTTAGAAAAGGGAAATATTTTAAAAGGATTTACTACCCCTAAATGATATGAGACTTCAGAGACGACTGTCCGGAAATTAAATCCATCTAGTTCCTTGCATTTATGATTCCCTGCAACTGTAAACTTGTTGCTATCTTTGCAAGATCATTAAAAATGCAGAAGACAGTAATTTAACCTTGGAATCGTCACATTTTAATAGTTTCAGGTCGTCTTTACAGTCTCATCCTTTGTGGGTAACCCTGTTTGATAAACTATAACAGATCTATTTTATTGATTTTCAATCTCAGCTTTTTTCTTGCTCAGCATATCATCAATACTCAGGTAAATCTATGATATTTTTTATATTATTTTTGACCACACCTGAAAATCTATTACCCCACCCCCCCAACCCAAATTTACATCTTCTGGAAGAAAAAAATAATGAAAAAAAAAAATTTAAGGAATTGAGTTTTTGCCACAACCTCAAATTTTCTAATCCCATTTTGATGGTGTACACCTATGATATTTAAATCAGACTATTTGATCAACCTGAATTTATAATTTAAAACATCAAAGGTCTATGACATATATAGGTATTAGAAAATCAGAGTTTGTGGCAAAAACTCATCACCTTTGCTGATTATGGATTTTGTTTATATTTTACCTTGGCTGTTTTGACATCAATAGCAATCTTAACGTTGAAGAAGATCATGAGAAGAAGAGGAAGAACAGCCATGAAGAACAGGCGGAAGTAGGTGATGTAGTATTTGATGTAACTACTGTTGGTTCGTAGCTCGGTGGGTCTAAAATAAAAAATGGTTCGTTAGCTTCTGGGGGGAACAGTGAAAAATATCCCCCCCCCTTGACCCTTAGGAGCGAGCTTTTTGGAGACAAATTTCCTCCTTCATGGTAAACGAAAAAGAAAAATATTTTACCAATCAATCAATCTCTAATGCTCCCTCTTCATGGAAAGTCAAAATTAAAGGCGAACATAAAATAAATCTATTTGAATGTTTCCCTTTGAAGATTTCTGTATCTGTCCCTGGTTTGAATGTAAATAAGTTAAATTTTTAAACAAATAAAAGGTGTGAATTTGAGCCAAGATTTGAGTCCTAAGTTTGCATATATATATTTATATATATATCTATAAAATCATTTCTAACAAATGGAAGCAGTCCTCATATGGGTTTCATTGTCATTCCTAGTTCAGTCTCCATATGCAAGTAATTGTATCATGTTACTTCAGGGTTGCCCACGAAGGATAAGACTGTGAAAACGACTTTAAAATATAACGATTCCATATTTATCCTCTGCCTTAAATGTGGTCTATCAATGGATTTTTTAATGAGTTGACAAAAACAGACAGAACAAATTCCGTACAGTCGTCTTTGAAGACTCATCATTTGTTTGTAACCCTGTATAGTGTATTAAATGTGGGACTATCAATGCTTTTTAAATCAAAGAGAATATTACAGATTTGACAGTAACAGTAGTTAAGATTTCACAATCTGGCGGACTCATGGGCAGCCGTAGTACATTTGAATTTCCGAGCCGGGTCAACCTTTCCGGTCCCAGTTTGTACTATACCGCACGGACATTGGGTTAATAAAGAAGACAATCAACAGGACTAGCCAGTGCAACAAGGTTGACGCGGCTAGCTCTTAGAATACCCTCAACTGTCAACTTTACAGCCAGCTCTTAATACCCCCAACTGTCAACTTTAAAGCCAGCTCTTAATACCCCCACTGTCAACTTTACAGCCAGCTCTTAATACCCTCAACTGTCAACTTTACAGCCAGCTCTTAATACACTCAACTGTCAACTTTACAGCCAGCTCTTATTACCCTCAACTGTCATCTACAACGGGTTCTTTGAAACCTTAATCTGATAAAAAAAACTAAGTAAGAAACGGTCGTTTTTCTTGCTCGAAAAGTTTTTGTTTCTGTGAGTTTCTCTTGCCTTTTATAAATAATTAAGGAAGTTACTTTCGCAGACCAACCGCAAATGAAAACAGTTTAAAGAAAAATAACATTGATATCTAATTCATACTTGACCATAAAAAGCGTTCAAGGGTACCGTTGAAATCGGGCATTGTCATTTTTGCATTGGAGGACACTTGAAATAACGCTTACAAGTTACACTCTCTTTAAGCCCCTTTTAAACTTTTCTAACCTTCATATACCTATCTTTATGTATTTGGAATTTGTACTTTAACCCAGCACATAGAGAAACAAGATGTATGATCCTACATTTCTTGAAAGCTAAATATTTATCTAAAATTTCCCCCTGCCNTAAAGACTGTATGGGCAGTATTGTACAGTTTGCTCTAACTGAATAAAAAGGCAGCCCGGTACTTGAAATAAACCGGAACAAGAACTCTGTTATTTCTGCACAATTCAATGAAATTACAGCATCAAATTTTGAATCTCATAGAAACCCTCTTATTTTAAAAAATTGATGAAAAAAAATCCAAGCATATCATAAATGTTGAAGGTACACCCCTGAAACTGTAAACAATTTGTTCATGACATGTGCTGCTATATACATTAATAGACACAGTTTACAATTTAGCATAGTTTAACCTAATATTTTGCAGATTTTAAAGTGGCTAAATTATAAATATATTTAATACTTTATTGTTATTAGAGAAAAGGATGTAAACATGAAAAAAAGGTGAATTTAAAGGTTTAAGTGAAACGGGTTATTAACTTTGTTAAACACAAAGCTAACAAAAGTTGCCTATAATTCATGTTTTGGAAGTCACGTAATATTTAAAAACTATAAAAATATCTTTTTAATTTCCGCGAGACAAATTTTTCCCCAAAAATTTAAAACAAAAATTTTAGAACAAATTTTGTTTCGCTGACTTTTTTTAAACGTTTCATGAATATTTAATGTGTTTGTGTATTTAGGTATTTTGGTAATTAGGTATTTAGGTATCGATGCGTCGTTAACGCTTAGTTTATAGAATGGAACTAACCAACATTTCAGGTTTTTCTTCGTTCTCTGAGAAAAACTAAACATTCAGTCAACAGCTAGTTTTTACCTTCTTTTATTTTTTTATAGCATTCGTTTTCTTTTTTTTCGTTCTGTTTTTTTTCATGCATCTCACAATTAATGATTTTTGCCATTTATTAACTGAATCTTTCGTTAACTTCAAAACCTGCCGGAACGTTGATTAATCCTAATTACAAATAACTTACTATAACCACAGCAAAACTTTAATATTGATTGCAGGTTTAGTTTTCCTTATTTCTTTTTTTTACAGAGAATTTACAATAAATTATTGATCGAACAGAGCTGGGAACTTTAGAATGGCGGATATCAGGATTAATGCTTAATCCTCTCTTTTTGCTAATCTCGAGACTAACATAATCTTGAGATTATGATAGTCTCGAGATTAAATATTTAGATCAACAAATTTGATTCTAGGAACGCCAGATTTGTTCGTTTTCTTGACTGGAAGAAGGGCCTTTATTTAATATCTCACCCATTTATTTATTAATACATTAGTTAAAATTGGCTAAAAACGAATCTCAAACGTATTATTAAATATTTTTCTTCATCGATTAATTTACAAAATGGCCGACAACATATTCTTTATTTATTAAAAGTTGCGGATTTCTCTCATGGGATAGAATTTATTTTCAAGGCTTTCATTGGTCATTACAATTTACGAACTATATTCCTGTTTTCTCACTGGAGAAAACAATGTACGGATATCCAAAGAGAGAGAAAAAGAGTGGATTAAGGACTAAAATTAAAAGTTTCCACAGTGGATATTCGGATTAAGTAGTTGTGATTAAAGGTTATCCATTCTAAAGTTCCCATAGCTGGGAACTTTAGAATGGTGGATATCGGGATTAATGCTTGATCCACTCTTTTTCTTAATCTCCAGATAAAATATTGTCCTCATGAATTTAATCTCCAGATTAATTAACAGATCGGGATTAAGGATATCACATTCTAAAGTTTTCAGCTCAGCTCAGATAATTTTATATTTAATTATCTAATTTACAATGCAATTTTTCCCCTCCCTATATGCTTAAACCATGAGCTGAGGTATTAACAAATTTTCTTGGGAAAAAGGTAAAAAATGAGAGAATGGAAATTAACTTTTATGAGCTGTATACAATTTTATATCAAAGGTTAACTTTGCGTTTTTGTCCTTTCAAGTGAATTTAAGTGATACTTCATTAATCATTGTTGGGTAAAAAATTATTAAATTTAAGCTGATTAATGCTTAAGAAAATTTTGTTATCAAGCAACCGGCCTAATTGCGCTTTCAAGTGTAATCCCACATGCCGTAAATCTGTGAAGTGCATTTCAAGAGAAAATCCGGGGAATTCTAATGTACTTTAAAGTATATGATTGATAACGCAGCAGACTGCACCTGCAGGGGATTTTAACTAATATTTTTCAGAACAGGAATAAGCAATATGACGCTATACATATAACATTATATTGTACAAACTGGCTTGTAAATGAAAATGAAAATATTTTGAAAATGTTATTTTTTGTTTTAAATTAAGTGGTTACCCCATGAAGGCCCAAATATATATGTTGAGTATAAATATGGTATTCAAGATTAAATGACTGTAGATCTTTACAGACTGATACTCTAAGACAATTGTTGAGTGTGGGAGGTGGGAAATTGTTTTCTATATTCATCGTTTTAGCTCATGGTATATCTTAAACCTAGCTCATGGTATATCTTAAACCTAGCTTAGGGTCTACCTTAAACCTAGCTTAGGGTCTACCTTAAACCTAACTTAGGGTCTACCATAAACTTAACTCAGTGTTTACCATAAATCTAGCATAGGGTCTACCTTAAACCTAGCTTAGGGTCTACCATAAACCTAGCTTAGGGTCTACCTTAAACCTAGCTTAGGGTCTACCATAAACCTAGCTTAGGGTCTACCATAAACCTAGCTTAGGGTACCATAAACCTAGCTTAGGGTCTACCATAAACCTAGCTTAGGGTCTACCTTAAACCTAGCTTAGGGTCTACCTTAAACCTAGCTCATGGTATATCTTAAACCTAGGTCAGAGTATACCTTAAAATTATCCCAGGGTCTACCTTAAACCTAGCTCTGAGTCTACTTTATGCCTGCCCTAAACCAATACTAGAATTACCTGTAGATTGTGTTCATCATTGTGCCAAGTTACTCGGGCTTCAAAAAACTTCGGAATGTTTATGCAGATACTGAAATATAGAAATATCAGATTTTGAAGTAATGAATATTCATTCATTTAAAGTTATAATGATTTAGATTTAAACCGACATTTGTGAGAAATTTTCACTTTAAGTAAACACAGCATTTTTTAATTATTTGTATTTACGTTTTTAGGCTGAAGAAATATTTTTCTAAAACGATAAGGTGGAGTTTTCATAATGACAAAAACTGAAATTTCCGTGATTCAATTCCCTTAAAAAATTTTTTTTACGAAAACACTTTCATATCCCTCTAAATACATGAATTGATTACCAACATAGGATGAGACTTCTAATTACAGACATAAAATAACAGAGATTCCAAGAAATTATACATGGGATAGCCAGAAAACTCTGTAATAGGAAGACAACTTTTAGACTCAAGTTAGTACTTTAAATAGTCTAATGAGCATTGAACACAGCAATGGTGTAGTGTAAACAGACCCATTACACTTAATTAGTGATTTAATAAGTATTTAGTAAAACTATTTGCTTTTTAACCATATTGATTCTGTAGGAGAAAAATATATTTCGTTAAAAGAATTCCCCCCCTGCAAATATTTGAAAATTTGGCATTCTCTCGTAGGCAGTTAGTTATAAAAATAGTCTTGAGAAGTTGCTCTTTTTTCGGAATGTACTTCCTTCAAACGTCGCAGTATAACCGAATTCTGTCAAATTTCTTGTTTATATTATGTTTTAAAACGACCTTGAAGCTGGTTCAGGTTAAAGAAGATGGAATGAAGTTGAATAATTTATAAACTGGATTTTTCCTAATTCATATTGATTCAAGCATTGTTTCCAACAAATATTGTTTACAGTTTCTGGTTCCCATTAAACATTTGTTTACAGTTTATTGGTTACTAAACATTTCTAGTTCCCATCAATCAGTTGTTTACAGTTTCTGGTTTACACTAAGCATTTCAAGTTCCCATCAAGAATTTGTTTACAGTTTATTCTTTACTAAACATTTCTAGTTCCCATCAAGCATTTGTTTACAGTTTATTGTTTACTTAACATTTCTAGTTCTCATCAATCATTTGTTTACAGTTTATTTTTTACTAAATATTTCTAGTTCCCATCAAACATTTGTTTACAGTTTATTGTTTACTAAATATTTCTAGTTCCCATCAATCATTTGTTTACAGTTTATTGTTTACTAAACATTTCTAGTTCCCATCAAATATTTGTTTACTGTTTATTGTTTACTAAACATTTCTAGTTCCCATCAATCATTTATTTACAGTTTATTGTTTACTAAACATTTCTAGTTCCCATCAATCATTTGTTTACAGTTTATTGTTTACTAAGCATTTCTAGTTCCCATCAAACACATTTATAAGTCCCTAGTTCCCATCCCATATTGTTTACAGTTTTTAACTATGAATTCTGTTGGATTAAATAATCTAAGTTTTGAATTAAGAAAGGTTGGCATCGTCAGTTTGCAAAGATATAGAGATAAGAAAATTTGAGATTTTTTTCTTTCTACAGACAATTTATAGATTTAGACTGACAATTGTAAAATGGCTTTTAAACAATAAAAATAGCATAAAGTAATAATTTCTTTACTTTTATTTCTTCAAAACCACTAGAAATTTGTGTCATAATCTTTATTTTGTTATAAATTTATATAAGATCAAGAAGACATTTAATTTGCCCTCCTTACTCCTGATGCGATGTGCCATCTTCCTCAACATTGCCTCGTCCATTTTCAGAGAAAAGTCATTCGCAATATTTATCAGATCTTAAAGGGATTTGGACTGACACCGCTTTACATGAGCCATTGTTTGTATCCAAGAGAGAAAAAAGATCAGAAGAGTATGGTGGCCAGTGGTGCTCGGTCTTTCTGGAGATGATCCTGTCCCCAAAAAGGTGAATTCTCATTGAACAGCATCACATCACCTCCTGGTCCTGGCTATAGTTTAAAGTTGTAGAAGAACTATATATATAAATGTCTAAATGTCGGAAAGCTGGAAATGCAAATTCACGGATTTTGAAGTTAATTTTCATTGATTTTCAGCCAAATAATAATTGCCAGTCTGAGTGTAATTACCGCGATCACCAGAGAAAAGAAAAAAGAAAAAGGGCGCTCCCTATAAACATAATTTCTTCAGTCAGTTTATTGCGTATCAGTACATTCTACTCTTTATAGTGTAAAATTGTTATATTCCCTCTTATGTTTATTATTCCCTCCTATGTTTATATTCCCTCCTATGTTTGTATTCCCTCCTATGTTTATATTCCCTGCTACGTTTGTATTCCCTCCTATGTTTATTATTCCCTCCAATGTTTATATTCCCTCCTATGTTTATATTCCCTCCTATGTTTATATTCCCTCCTGTGTTTATATTCCCTCCTATGTTTATATTCCCTCCTATGTTTATATTCTCTCTTATGTTTATAATTCCCTCCTATGTTTATATTCCCTCCTATGTTTATATTACCTCCTATGTTTATATTCCCTCCTATGTTTATATTCCCTCCTATATTTATATTCCCTCATATGTTTATATTCCCTCCTATGTTTATATTCCCTCTTATGTTTATATTCCCTCCTATCTTTATATTCCCTCCTATGCTTATATTCCCTCCTATGTTTATATTCCCTCATATGTTTATATGTTTGACATTCATATATATGTTCCCTCTGTCCGGCTAAACGGCTGGACCGAATGGGCTGAATTTTTTTGTGGACATTCATGGGTAGCCTGGGGGTGACATAGACTTAAGAAANCTATGTTTATATTCCCTCCTATGTTTATATTCCCTCCTGTGTTTATATTCCCTCCTATCTTTATATTCCCTCCTATGTTTATATTGCAAGATCTATGAATTTACAAAGAAAACACCGGAATAATTTGTTTAAAGATATCGCTTTAAACAGTCCTTTATACATGAGAATAATATTCACTGAATATCTTTATAAAAATGTTTAAAGATTATTAGAACAGGCTTAGATCAAACTTTCTTTACGTCAGTAAACCGGCAAATTCCAGTTTATCTCAATCAATTACCAACCATTTTACTTGATCAGTTCAAACCAATCAATCAAGCAGATATTTCATTCCAATTTGAAATCATTTTCCTTCCCCAATTCAAATCAATCAATCTTCATCAATTACGTATTATTTTGCTTGATAAATTCACAAATCTATCCTCGATATGTAGATCAAGATAAACAATCTTTAGCAACTATTTTGCTTAATCGCTTCACAAATCAACCCTCTGTGTAGATCATAGATAATCGATCTTCATCAATTTCAAACTATTTTGCTCTATTAGTTTACTAATCAATCCTATGTAGATTTTTGTAATCGATCTTCATCAATTACCAATTATTTTACTGGATCAATTTAAAAATCAACCTTCTGTAGATTATAGTAATCGATCATCATCAATTACCAATTATTTTACTTGATCAGTTCACAAATTAATCCTATGTAGATCATAGTAATCGATCTTTACCAATTACCAATTATTTTACTTGATCAATTCACAAATCAATCCTATGTAGATCATAGAAAATCGATCTTCATCAATTACCAATTATTTTACTTGATCAGTTCGCAAATCAATCCTATGTAGATCAAAAATAATCGATCTGCATCGATCACCAATTATTTTACTGGATCAATTCACAAATCAACCTTCTGTAGAGCATAGAGATAATCGATCTTCATTAATTACCAATTATTTTACTTAATCAATTCACAAATCAATCTTATTTAGATCAAAAATAATCGATTTTCATCAATAACCAATTATTTTGCTTGATCAATACAAAACAATCATTTGAATTGATCATTTCTTGTTAAGCTGATTATAAACAATATTAAATCTTTGTTATGGGTTCATTTGATCAATTAAAATCAATCCTCTGTAGATCATAAATATGAGTCAATAATTTAAATTTGAAAAAATTTTCATTTTATTGCTCAATTAATTCAACATAAATCCTTTAGATTAAGAATAATTTTATTAAATCTTATGTTCTCATTTAAATTTTTTTTGATTAATTTAAACCAATTTTGATCAATTCCGATGACTATAGTAGATTTAAATGAACCTGGATTCGAATGATTCAACTTTTTGTGATGTAAGAAAGATCACCATTGTATATATATA